TCACGACTAGCAAATCCTTCGACAATCTTGACTATTCAGAGATACATTAAGCACGGTTTTCAGGTAGTTTAACTGAATAAAAGGAACAAATTTCACAATCACTGCTTATTTCGTTCTTAATGATCTCTGGGTCAAATGCTTCAGATTATGTGCAATCAAGGACACTTTTTGGTTTTCTCAGATGCTCCTAACTATGCCTGAGATGCCGATATGCAAGCTCTTATTAGATTATTTGGGCTGTGATCTTTTTTAAACGGTTGCCACCTTCGTAACAAAATAGGAGCTCTGTGTTAAAGATTTTGTCGTTTAAAATCATACACTATCGTTTTTAAATATTTCGTAAGATAAATCAAGTCAATTTTTCTGCACAGGCAAGAATAAATGTTTATAAAATACTTGAAATGGCTTATGTTTTTAAAACCCAGCACGTGACATATTACGTTTAGCTGTGACGACATTTAACTGACCAAACGTTAGCCCGAAATTTTGTATGTTCCTTAAATATGCATGTGTCTGAAATAACGGCGTCTTCAAATAACGTACGAAGTCACTAGGCATTTAGTCGTTCCATTAAACCGAAGTTTCCGTTTAAAGTACAATTAAAATTATCAGTGGACCTAGGATCCGGTCGCGGTAGTCAGTTTACTCAAACGCCTTTTGAAATTCGGAGATTCCCCATATTAACAAAACGTCCAAGTTAGAAATTTTATAGAAAACCGCTTGGCAAACTTTCGTTTTTCAGCCACTCATCACCATACGAAATCAGTCATAAGAGCAGCCGAATTTTCTGACCACAAATGAGCCATTTTTCTGCAGATATTTTTCCATTTTGTTGAACTAGACTTGGACTTGGGAGTAGTATGTTGAGACCGTGGTAAGAATGTACATCCCGCTCTATGTGTTATGCTCAGTCAGGTTGCCGTGCATCAGGATATGCGGCAGATGTCTAACTTGTACGAAATTATATCGTGTGGTGTTTGCGAGACTTACGTCTTGTGTGGTTTCAGAGAATGCAGTCATTTCGTTGCGTTACAATTATGACGTACTGACGTTGTCCAGCACGCGACAAAGAAGTCCAAATATTCTGCCGACTCCTTCCCGAAGTTCAGCGATAATCAGTTATTTCAGGAAGAAATTAAAAATTCTTTCATTTTCCTTCCTCGAACCCTCTCATGCCGGACTTATGTATGCAGTGAGCGACGGATCAGATGAAATGTTGGCTGAAATTCTGAAATGTGTCTCCGATTAGGAAGGATTACTTAAGCGCGGTTATAACACTGATTATCTTACAGCATAATCCTATAATATTTTAGACTCGGTAGGATGTCGGCTTTTGAATGCACTGCTTTTCAATCTTCCGTAGAAACCGTACTCAGCAAGAAATTATTAGTTAAGTCGTATGCATCTTTTACACTATTTTCGGTAGTCTTGCAAATTCAAACATACTTTACAGAAACTACGAACAAAAATATGCTTTCTTTTGGTCGTTTGATAGCAAATCACGTCAGCTTTGTATTTGATAATCAAAGAAAGAGTATATTTAGGTTTTTGAAAGGTTCCTATTTATGGGGTTTCTAAGACCATGTAATATCCATTCATACAGCATCCTACTTGTCCTTTTACCCCTGCTCCTCATGAAATATACAGTATAGTCCGCATCCATTACAAAATTTATAGACTCCATATAGTTTCGTTTTAAGGGCATGGAAGAATATGTGATTCTCTTTACACGAAACGCAAGCACCTTGTCGACTGAAATCACTAAGCGCCAATGCAACGACTGATCAGTCTTCAAATTATTCGGGAATTCGAAAACCTCTTTAAAACCTAAAAATACTTCTTCTTAGAGCATTAAATATAAAGGTGACGTGATTTGCTATCGAACGACTAAAAGAAAGCATATTTTTGTTCGTATTATCTATAAGGTATGTTTGCATTTGCAAGACTACCGCAAATAGTGTAAAAGATGCATACGACTTAAGTAATAATTTCTTACTGGGTACGGTTTCTACGGAAGACTGTAAAGCAGTGTATTCAAAAACCTACATCCTACCGAGTCTAAAATATTATAGGGTTATGTTGCAAGATAATCAGTATTATAACTGCGCCTAAGTAATCCTTCCTAATCGGAGACGCATTTCAGAATTTCAGCCAACATTTCATCGGATCGGTCACTCATTGTACTTCACTTCCTGTAATTTTAAAATAATTCGAAATTCCTATAGCCCAAAAGCAAAACTGGGCTATATTACAAAAGGTTCGTTGGGCGGGAGTGCATTACAATATAAACGCTAAAGATGAGTGGTTTCATGCCTACGATGCGGCATGAAAGAGCTTGTGGCTCCTTTATCATGGGAGAGCGGCCACAATGACCGCTTTATTTACCAGACTATAAGTATTTTTATCCAAGAAAATCTCTTAAAACCTGCCACGTTTCTCCAATGCCATCTTAGAGTATTTTTTATGCAGATGTTTGGGATCTGTACCTATACCTAAGAATTGCTTCCATTCAACGGGAGCCCTATTGGACTCTTTAAATTATCGGTTTGAAAAGAAATAGATCGATTTTATGCTCTTTTAATTGCAGCGATAGTCACTAGCTCTCATTTTCTGTAATTTGTATCATGTAACAATTGAGGTAAGAGTTAAAATGTCCGCTAACACTCTATGAATCTGACGTCCACTCGTTAAATTTCCTAGAATTTTGTTTTTCCTTTTCTATCAGAGACCAGTCTTTCTTCTGGAATCACCTAGTTTTTTTAACTTATTGTGCATGATCCGCACGAGGTGAATAAGCTAATAACTGAAATTGAACTGTGTAGGAAAAGCTCTTTGTCGCTTAGCACGGTAGTCTAACCAGACAGTAACTCCTAGCTCGCTCGCTTGGCCTCACTGTCTGGTAACTTAGAGACTCCATTTGCGTCAGACGCCTTTTTCCTACGCCTCAGATGAAGCGCTTCCAATTTTTTGTTTTATTTCAGCAGAAAACAAGAAGGCTGCAACTTACACAGCCCCCTTTACTCGAATTGCCGTTTTTTGATTTGTAGGTTTTCACTGCGTAAGAGCACCTTTCCCGTCTAAGAGCTTATGCGTGCTGATTCACAGCATGGGGCAATGCATGAAGAGGCAGTCGATAAAATAGCCGAGCACACTGAGGAGGCACAATTTCAGACCTATTCCGGCGCAGCGAATGGGCACTGCGGTCAGGTACACTGAAGTTTTCAATCAATTTACGTCTCCTGCAGGGATCTTTTATGCGCACTCACAGAGGATGTTTGAGGGGGATGGTGCCGACAACAGCAGCACGCGCATTCGTACTCTAGCTGAGTTAATTCAACTACCGGGATGACGCAGCTTGCCTCACAAGACGGTAATCTGTCAATCAGGTTAACAGCGGGCAGGGGTCGGCGGCAACTGAGCCTACCCAGCTTGGCGGATGGGACCAGTGAGGAAGACAATTCAGCTGCACAACAGAGGCTATTAAAGTCCAGCATAATTATTCTGTCTACGTAAAGTAATCGTATGGTTGGATTGGCACATTCAACATCTTCATATGCGGGATTCAGTGTCCGGCAATTTATTTTAGCTTCAATAAAATTTTTAAAAAATAGGTATCTTCCAGCAAATGGAACTCGAGACCGCGAAAACAAGAAATCTCTTTGCCAACGTTCCAGGTCGAGGTGCTGCTGATCCTACAACTGGATTGCGGTACCCGTAGTCCATGAAGTGGGTTGGCTTGACGCAATCAGTGTATGCCACGTCGTAGGGTAGCTGCTGTGGCTGACGGCTAATGTCATCACGAATCAACACGTACTGTCATGTGCCCAGGTCGGAAGGAGACTATGGATGAAGTTTACACAGTGAAGTTAGCTTGTGTAACTTATGCATCAGCGAAAATTTTGAGCATGTCTTCAAGATATACCAACTGACCTGAAAGGAATACGACAGTGCTGTAAACCTTCTCGATCACCTGTAACTTATAATTAGCATTGATTGCGGAAAGGACAATCAAAATGACAAAAGGTAGGCTTATTTTATTCGATGTATATTCTCGATCGAAACCGACAGGACAACGGGCCCGTGGTCCAGTGGTTAGAGGCGTTGGACTTCTGACTAACAGGTCGCGAGTCCGGGCCCCAGGGGTGTTCCACACTTCGGGGTTGAATATGACTGGCTGACGACGGCTAATAAGGCAGAAATGGCCATTCCAGTCTCCCTTGTCTCTGTCGGTGATAACATTCTGATTATCTGACTCACTTGTGGAAAGGTTGCTGATTTTATAAAGCACATGGCTGCAAAGGGTTCGGCATTCCCATCCATCTAAATATTCCACATTTTATGCTGGTATTTGAGGACTCCAACCGGTTAATTGCAATCAGATATAAGCATTCTATGAGACAATGCTCTGACTTTCCTGAGCGGATCTCTAGTCAGATATAAGTGTAAATGTTCAGCTAATTATAATCTAGAATGACCTCATCTATCAGTGATATTCAGGGATCGATGAGGCTTTTCGTCACAGCACCTCTTAAAAGGATGAAATATGGATATGTGCGGTAGTTTTGTCACCCGTACATGATCCGTTTTTGCAGTTTCGATGAAGACTCGTTTTCCAACTGATTCAACACCAGAAGATGCACCAAGTGGACCTCGGTTCGATTGTGTAATCTATATGTTTAATGTGAAGTTGGTCCCGTTATCAAATTGCTCGTAGGATGCCCAGCTCTGGTAACTAGATTGGAGCCGGTGTTCTGGTGGGAATGAGTAGGCTGACCGACAGAGGCAGTGTTGTCATGCTAGCCGCGAAAAAGCTGTCTGGTTAGTGTTACTAGACGTGCAGAGGATGAGTCATGAATTTGTCTTGATTGTTTTAGCGACCAGAACATTCTGCGCTGCAGGTACGTAAGCGCATAACTTTGTCAGACTGGTTCACGTCACGCGTTTATCTGACAGTTCAGAGGCCGCATGAGCCCGTAACGGCTGAGGAACATGCGTGTGTGTCATGTCATAGCGTGGGCCTTCGTGCCCTGTCGACCACTGCGTTCAATCCCATCGTTAGCTGACTGGTAGGCTCTGGCAGTCGACTGGTTCATGGGATCGGGAAGATGAGGCCGACACTGAGGACTCCGCCCTGAAAGCCCATCATCACAGTCCTCACTGTAGTAAACCTGACCTGCTTCAATTCTATCACGGTGCGTTAAAAGTCTTAGCTTCAAAAGTTACTGAAGGATGGGGTGACTCAGAATTGAGGGTCAGCTTGCAAGGACGCCTTTTCAGTATAGCCGTTTCGGCATTCTCACGCATGTGGGCTCCCAGCCGACCCGGTACATGTGGTGGGAACCATGTCGTTTGCGGTACGCGTAGGCAGGCTGTTTAGCTTTGTCACCCACTGCAACCGAGCCCAACTCCGGTGGTTTTTACACTGTCTTACCATCGGAGAAAAATGAGTGTAGGAGAGAGCGTGGTAGGTACCGCATATGTCTATCTCACGATAAGCTAATCCCTGCGCATGGCACAGGTTCTGAGACCATGCTGCTGTGGGGCACGCTGTGAACGTCGTCGTTTGAGACGATCGAACTGTTGGTTGCGATAATTAGGTAACCTCGTATCTACTGACCGACAGTCTGCGGCCGATCCATAGGTTGTCAAGCGTTTATTGCGGATGATCACAAATGACGCGATAGCAGTTCTACTGGCTACTTGCAAATCATTAATCGCAGCTTATAATTGACGGTGCTGGTAATTAACGCGATAAGGTGTTGACAGTCTTGCTCCCAAAACCCGTCGTCGGAATCCTACGACTACCGAATATTTTCCTGATTATGGCATTAGGCCTAAATTCGAACCACAAGAGCAAGAATGTCTTTGCTCTACAAACCTATTCTGTATATTCTCGATTTTTCTTTGAGTTTCATGAAGAAGGGCTTACGAGGGACGAAGGATGTTGCCGAATAGTTGAAGACAACAGTATTCAGAAAATCTACGGACACAAGGCAAATCCTACACTTCAATAGCAATCACCCTCTTTCTCACAAACGTAGCTGTATCGGAACTCTGTTCCAATGAGTCGAAACACACTGCAGCACGCCGGGAGATAAAAGGACTGAACAAGCGTACCTTCAGAACCTCTTTGCAGTCAATGGTTATTCCAGAGATTTTATCGAGAGAAGCAGGCACCGAGCGTACAGACGACGACCTAATGAGCAGCAACCCGAAGTCTGGAGAGCCATTCCCTACGTGAAAGGGGTCTCCGAGGCGATTTCTCGACTGTTACAACCCGCCAGAGTAGACGTAGATCATCGACCACAGGCGCCGCTACGGCGCCGTCTGATGCAACTTAAGGGCACACTGCCACCCGCTTATATCTCAGGAGTTTTCCATAAAATAAGTTGCAATGAGGGCGACTGAAACAATGTTGGGAAAAACGGACGGAAATTGCAGACCCGCCTCCGAGAGCCCAAATCGGCGAATCGGAGGGTAGATCCAAACTCTCAACTAACAACGCACGTTGGAGAAACTGGGCATACTTTTGATCTCCAGAGAGCTACCATCTTAGGCCGTGACAACAAAAAAACAGAACGGCTAACACTCGCGGCCTTATACTCAAATGCCAACTCCATCAACAGGCATCTGGACCTTCCTGCAGCCTACAAAGTCCTACATCATCACGTCCGTAAAGTTCAGGACCAAGTAACCACACTGGACTTAAGAAGGCCATACATAGACAAGCCGACGGCGAATCTACTCGGCGAGGAAGAAGAACCACCGGACCGACCACCCGACAAAGATTCAATCACTCATTTCGCCGACGAAGTGGTGACTCACAAAACACACAGATAAAACACCCGCCAACCATGCCCGAGGGGCCGAGGCTACGAGGGAAGGGAAAATCGATCAGCATGAGGCCGATCAACGTGACATGTCACTTGAAATTTCTGATTTATTAAGTGCATTTTCTGCGTCGACAATGGGGAGCCAACCAAGCTCTTCGAAACGTCAGTACTTAAATCAACCCGTTCCGGTGAGCTCTTCTTCTTCTTCTTCTTAAATTCATCAGCCCGGATCTCTCAACTCTGCCAATCTCAGCGGGCTTTGGGCACCGGAATCGAGGATCGTTTACACATCTAACTGACAAATAATAAGGATCCGTTTCATACTCGTTTTGGTGAGTCCATCATTTTCTTCAAGACAATAGTAACCCTGCATGGTTTCTTCTATTGTCTTGACACAAGTACACTGATACTGATAGATATGTTGAATTTCTACCAATGGTGCTTCCTCGAAATCTTCGAGAGGACGCCACACCCATGCTGAATGATTTACAATATTGGCAACGCACACATGTTAGCCAAAAGCCAGAATACGCGTTTCTCTGACTTTGTACCGCTGCATGAACCACCTGCGGGTCTGTGGGCGGGGGGGGATGGGCAGCTGGTGAGTCGAACCCACCGCAGATGCGTCACACAGTGACACAATATCGGCAAAACAGGCGTCTAGACTTTCAGCTGATACCCGTGTTGTCAGTGCTGCAAATCAGTCAGTATATGTATACTACTGACTGCCCTTTGGCGGCTAGCGAATATTACATGGTTATTCCCCAGTAGTTGATGGATTTCGACGCAACTTTTTATATAACTTATTAGGTCGCGCCTAGAAAGTTTCGTTTCGACGGATTCATTCCAATTTCGCGCAAAAATTTCCGAGAGAATTACGAATTACTCTATCCTGCTGAGTCGCCTATCTTTATTGCCTGCCTGAGCGCAACGACTAACGAAGTTAAAAAAGAGAAGTCGTAAGATGATTAAAGGCAGCTTATGTTGAGATTTCGGCAGATAGAAAGCCTCAGCTCCGACATGCTTGCTTTGCTAAAACAGAAAATAGGGGAAATAATATCTGTATCGCAGATTTTTTGTCGGTTCGCAAATTCCTGCGGACAGTGTGCTCTTTTCCTCCGTTGGTTTGTCCAGTTGCTCTCATCCACGGGCGCTTTTGGCGGGGGACTGATAAGCTTCTTAGTCAGGGCGCGCGGCAGGTATTCTGGGCGAATCGAATCAAGAAATCTTGCCTAATATCCAAAAGAATATAAAGGATTAATGCTGTACGACTGTGTGAGAAATGCTTCTTAGAATGTGGGCGGGTATATAGAAGGTTATAGAGGCAGCCATGCAAACGGTCTATATGCCCAGCGAAAGCTTATCTTCCGGCAGGGAGCCAGGTTTTAGAGAACTGCCAGCGCACACCAAGCTGTGAGGGACGCTGTTTGCTGATCATGGAACATCAGATGCTAACATACCTTGATCTAAGTGAATATAGAAGGGTTCATGCTGCATAGCTGTGTGATAGGTGCCTATATCAATGTGAGACGGTTTACAAGTGCTTACATATATAAAATATAATCGTAAAAACATGGTTTTTACCTCAAGGGCTTTCGCTTGAGTATCTGGAACGCAACCCCCGCAATCAAGGAGGGATCACTATATAAGCCGGAAATTTAGATGTGAACCTTAGGGGCACATTAATGCGCCCAATTCTCGTAAGTGCGTTATGCAGCGGTACATAATCGGCAAAACACGCGTCTGGACATTCAGCTAGCATCGCAACTCTCAGTGTGGCGAATCATTCAGTATGGGTGTGCTATTAACTGCCTGTTGGCAGCCTGTGAGGACTACGCGGTTATTCCACAGTATCGAATGGATTACAACTCGAATATTTATGCCAGCGTTCGGGCCGCACCTAGAAAGGTTTGTTTCGAAGGCTTTACTCAAATTTCCCGCATCGACCTCAGAGAAGATTAGAAAAGGCAGCACCCATATTCTCCTGATTTGCTGTCTCCATTGCCTGCTTGGGATCAACAGCTTACGAAGTTATAAGGGAAAGTCATAAGGTAGAAATCGGTGTATGAGAAAAGGTACTTTGGAGTGAAATTTTGACAGATGAAAAGGCCTAAATAAAAGAGCCGATCGAGGCAGAAAGCATACGGTAAAGAAGATCAATACACGATCTCTGGGACAGTAGGTGTATTGATCTGAGCTTTCGGTCTCGTACAGGAGGCCATTGTCAGAGACTATGAGAATGCGGCATCAAATGAGCAGTTTTTGTGGTCAAGCCATGAAGGGGGAGAGATGAGTGCAGAAGGTGGTATTCGCGATAAGCTGAGTCCCACGCCGTCTCACGGTGGCGTGAGTGCATGCACCCTTGGCTGGAAATTGGGTCTCGCCTCTTGGCTGCGGGAACGGAGCGCATGATAGGAGGGGGGTATGTCAACGTGTCTGTTGATAGAGTTGGTGTCAGACATCCAGGCCTCCAACAGCTCTCGCCCTGTCTTATTGTTGGCCCGCGATACTATTCGCGTGCTCGCGAAGTTGAATTCGTGGCTTTTCTCCAAGGTGTGAGTGGCGACCTGAGACAACGGGTCGCCTCTCCGGACCGTCCGTGTGTGCTCCGTTATTCTTGAGTTAAGTCGTCGTCCGGTCTGTCCTGTGTAGTGGAGGGGGCAGTCCCGACATGGAATCTGATAGACGACATCCGATTGTTCTCTCACGTCTAAACGATCCTTCACTCACATGATTTTGTTGCGCATGGTCGCTGTCGGACGGTGAGCGATACCCACGCCGAGCTCCCAGCGATACGTTCCATCGCTTTGGACACGTTCTTTATATATGGCAGAGGGTGCCAGAGTGTTGGCGGCTCTCCTTCGTTTGTTCGCCGTGGGTGCGTGTGGAGGCTGCGGCTGACGAAGCTGCTCGGGGATCCATTCCTTGCCAGTTGGTCCCGAAGATGCCGAAGTTCTTGTACTCGTCTCTCTGGCTAACCGTAGTGCGTTTTTACCCTTTGGAAGAGTGTCCTAACATAGCTGCGTTTATGCGCCATTGAGTGGTTACTGTGGTAGTTGGGAATCTGAGTCATGTTATTCGCCCTTCTATACACCGAGGTTTTGAGTTCGCCGTTGGGTGTGCCTGTGACGAGAACGTCAAAAAAGGCAGCTGTTCGGCATGCTCTTCTTCCCTTGAGAACTGTATGTCCGGGAAGATGCCGTTGAGCAGGTCTTGAAAGTCGGCCAGTCTGCACCTTTCAATTACAACGAACGTGTCGTCCACGTACCGGCGCCAAAATGCAGGCTCATAGTGGTCGAAAGCGACTTTTTCCAGCTCCTGCAGGACTAGTTCTGAAACCAGGCTGGATATTGGCGAACCCATCGGCGTTCCTTTGATCTGCTCGTATGTTCGGCCGTTGAAGGTGAAGATGGTTTGTTGGCAGAAAGCAAACAGTTGCAATAGGTGGTCGATTTTTAGGGGTCTGTTAGTTTCGTCGTAGTTCTTGTCGAGTCGTTTGCGAAATACGTCGAGTGCCAGGTCCGGTGGGATGGACGTGAATAATGAAATCACGTCAAAGAACACCATAATCTGATCCGGTCGGGCAACTTTTCCTCGGATGTTCGCCAGGAATTGGGAGGCCCAATTGATGGAGGTCCTCGAGCCTTCTCGGAGAAAGTTAAGTTTTCGGGCCATCCACTTTGATAGATTGTAAGTGGGGCTGCCTTTCAAGGCAACGATCGGTCGAAGGGGAAAATTGGGCTTGTGGATTTTGGGTAATCCATACCAATGCGAGCTCTGCTGGCGTAAGAGAAAACAGGAGTGTTGAAGGTCGGACACGTAAGTAGGTCACTGATTAATCGCTGCAATACCAGGCTCTAGGCGCAGGGTGATCAAAAGCGAAAAAAATGCGATGTGAACATCGCGACAGTAATCAAAGCTTGTTTAAATGTGTGCGTGAGTTTCGTTGCAGAGTTCAACTGTCGTCCAGCTCCCTTCCCCTTGCCGCCCGCCAAAGATAAAATGTCGTGAAAGACGGTAAGACAATCCTTGTTCTCGCCAACCTCTTCCCGATCCCCGCCGCAAGGCTTGGACTGTTAATTGCGGGCATCAAGAAGCTACGGTGCAACCAGGAACCTTTAATAGGGAAGGCGTGAAATCGATGGCACCTCTTTTGGTATTTCATGTGTTTGGCCAGCATTTTCTAAAGTATGAATAGAAGGCCCATCTACTGCCCAAAAATATGTCTCCATAGTTTTACGCTCCAAAAATCTATGGTCCAGGAAAGAAAATTTTGATGGGGTTACATGTGATGTGTTTTCTCATATAATATGAACTAAGTCCCGGGTTAGTCTTATGACCTTCTCGAGGAACATAAGAAAAAGGAATAACAATTACGAAAGTCCCAACGACAAGACCATGCCTAGATGCCAATGATAAGTTTAAGCCGAATATTAACTCCCTATCGTACAGAAGAAAATGTAATTGGCTTAACGTCTAATTACTCTCAGGACCGTATTAAGCATTGTTTCAATAAGTCATGGGTTTGTCGTCTTGTCGGTTCCTATCGACAGTACTGATAAGTGTGTAAGGGACATGCTCTTGATCTGTATCACAGAGCATACTAGTCACCAGTGTAAACTAAACTAAAAAAGACGAAAAATGGTTAACATGTATTTCATCTCTTAATGCCGGATATATAGGATATTCGTTCCCTATGCTTGTTTCAAAAAGAAATGCCTCTTTGCCACATCTTTGTTCGGAGAATGAATGTACGTTGTTTTGAAAAACGTTTAATAACTTCTTTTTACTCTGGAACAAGTTTGTGTTTTCTATTGCTTGGTTTCTCCGGTGCATCAGACGCCACATCACATAACCCTACTTGTGCAAGTAAGACGTCCACCTCGTACTCACAAAATATTATGTTAGATAAAAGTCGTAGCTTATGCTTTACCTACGATATTAATGCATCTCATACCGGTGCGATACGTGAAAACTTCTATAAAAACCCCAATCAGTCTCATAACTACAGACGCCAGACATTAAAATGCCTCCTTCCTTTCAGTACAGCGTTTGAGTTAAATCAATTTTTTTAAATTGGTATAATGTAGGAGCTGTTTGTGGCTAATATGTAAAGTGTGTTCGCGTTTTTACCTGTGCTAATAAAGGATGAAAAATTCGCACACCGCAGGTGTTATATTTTTGAGGACGATTTAAAAAGACGGCCGGAAAGGAAATCGCTTAAAAACCAACGTGCTGCGATGTAGCAAGCGACCAAGTGTTTTATTTCCGGTCGATTTCTTTTGCTATCCTACCTAGGTAATTGTCATTATTCGCAATAACGTCAAAACATTTCTGTCGATTTTTACTGCATTCCAATGCAACCCGCTCAAACTATTTCCGATGCACTAAGAAAAGCCCTGCGTGTATTAACTCGAATATGAAAGGGCAAAACATCACGGGCAGCCTAAAGAAGCAGTTGATTACTGCTTGTTGGTCAAGTAGATCAGGCAACGAAGCAACGGATATGACGTAGTGCAATACACCATGTACTCCAGCATATTAGCTTGATGAAGCTCGTTTCAATGTGCATTGCATATGTGCAGGTGTGCTAGAACCACACGTTCGACCACAGTTGAAGGGAGACACAGCGCAAGGTCACCGTTTTATGTACAAAATAGAAGAAAACTTGTATTTCCGCAATGACTACTTCCAACAAAATGACTGGAAATGGGCAGAAGAATTTTTTACCATGGGCACCTCTCATGCGGAAACTTAAAAACATAATGGACAGCAATAAAATTAACAATCCTTGGCGCACAAAAGCCCAGTCTTAATGAGGTGAGTCCCATTATAAGTAAAACATGTCCTATAGAAGCGGTCCTATAAATGCAGTTTCAACAGTAAGTGAAAATACTTTGTACAGAATCACTAGAGACTGTGCAGCTTTGTACCAGCCTTCATTCAACCCACTGAAACCGCCTTTTCATTGTCTCACAGATGTAAAACTTATCAAACGACTTCAAAGCTCACAATACTGACATCCCTGACAACATTGTTCGTAAAGATTCCTTTCACAGAACCGTGTAAATATATTAACCAGCCTGTTGGTTGGTGGCCAGCAAAAGTCTCCTTACCTTAGTCAATTGCATATCGGAAATGAGAAAAAAAAACAATAACCAACACGCGTAACACCATTTTAAAACACATGTGCAAATGTGAGCTTTGTTGCCTGCTCGAACTACGATAACGTATTGGATGTGTCAATTGTCACAGTAAGCTCGATAATTCAGTTACTTTTCCTAAAAATCAGTCTAAAATGAACCACATGACTACCGGACCCACTTTTTATGAAGTGTTATTGGCAAATTTATATGGTCCAGACGACCTAGTTGGGAAAACATCAACAGCTCCGTTGGGACTCGAGCACACGAGGACAAGTGCAAGGCTTGATCACAGCCAACGGACTAACCGGATGAGGTATGGGACCCGAACTAAGAGCCCGATGTTTATTTACAGTTGAAATAAAAAGGTCGATGTTTTATATCCCAGGCGTCTAGACCGTTGATTGTATTCAGACCTTGTTCTTTCTCTCGTAGGTTCGAATACCACCCAACTGCCGGTTTTTCACGATTAAGTCAGATGATTTATTCAAATCTATCAAAAACATGCAATCACGGGCCAAGCAACTGCCTAGTAACCATACCGCAAATTACGTAAACTCTTTGAGAACTTCCATACTGAGAATTACCTAGAAGGGTTTGTTAAATTTTGTTACACCCGTGGTGCTTTAAATGGCCAGCTGCGTGTATGGACCTGCATTGTGCACTTCCGTAAATTCGGTTTTGTGCGCTTTGTACATTTATTTTCCTTTGGACATTTTTCGACCAACACCATATCTTTTATAATTAATTAGATGTCTTGGCCAGTGCGTTTGGGCCAATTTCTACTCATCAAAACTTTTCTGACCATGCACATATTTCATGAGATAGGTCACCTACACTATTTTAGCCGCCATTCCCATGTAAACTTCCTGGATTCCGGCAAAGCTGTTGTTTCAAAGTAAACGAAGGCAGAAGGCAGCGATCGAGAAAAGTGCAGGGGTAACCAGTAACTAGCTCCCTGCAGAACGCCTAATTCCAATTAACAAAATAACGCTAGAATCCTGCACACTGAGGCCAGTCTACTGGGACCTGTTATTTAATCCTCTTAGCTACATGGACTGGTTGTGTGGGTTTAGACTAGTTGAAGAATGAACCAGAACCGTCAGGAGGGTCGAGCCATCGTGAAGAACGCGGATATGCCCGAGGACATGCAACAGGACGCTGTCGAGGTTGCAACAACAGCAATCAACCACAACAGTGTAGAGAAGGATATCGCTGCGGAAATCAAAAAGGAGTTTGATCGGCGATTTAATCCAAACTGGCACTGTATCGTCGGCCGAAGCTTTGGTTGGTATGTAACTTTAATCCTAAAGGTATTGATTTACCATGCACTATACCGTCACAATATCAATACTCAGACTTGCCTTAACTTTCGTAGGTTGGACTAAGCTTAAAGTATGATTCTGACTACTTACCTCTATCGGTTGCAACTCGAGGACTCGCCACGTTATTTAGACATTCAAAGAGCTCAAACACTTATAATCGTAGGATTTTATTTTTATCATGAGGACGCTACTGGTGGACGAGGACGAACAGACCAGAAATGTGTATCCCGGCTTCCCAAATTCCTGCTCTTATCGCCTATTTATTGTCCTGGTGCCTCCCTTCTTTTTGCCCATATTTGGAGCGCATTGTTTATTGAGTGGAGCAGGCTTGGCGACCAACATTTATGCCTTTTGGGAATCTTGAGAGACAAGAACTTAGAAAAAACCAACGAAGAACAACTAACTTATTACTATTCTGCATACTCATTCATGCAGAGCAGATGCTGTAAACTTTCCGGGACGCTATAATGAAAACGAAAGAGGTTTTTTGGTAGAGGTCGAGCACAACTCGACTTTTCTGAAGAACTTCTTCGTTTTCGGCAGTTATTTATCCCCATTGAAAGTTTGGTGCACAAACAAGTTTTGGGGTAAAACTACCGAGATTAGCAATCCAAGACAAACACATGCGCAATCAAATCGCGATCCGCTGAAAAAAACACCCAAGGGACTTTAACCAGCTGTTATTTAAGAGTTTAACACTTGCGTGGATATGATTTGCGGCATTCACGCACCAAATTAATTCTCATAGTTATCGAGAAATCCTATTTCTGCATTATTTCTATCTAGACGTTTCCCTAACTGAAAAAAGAGTGCACATATTTCAACAAGTTAACGTAGGCAAACGTACGTGTCCTCCTTGTAAGCCTTGGGCACACGCTTTTACATGCAACCTGTACTAGGGTAGTGAGACTTCGAAAGGATGTTTTCTGCGTGACAAATGGTCGTGACAGGGAGAAAAAAGACTCGCAGTTTGGAACAAGGATTTTATTTGACATATCTTTTACATTCACGCTCTAACCCACCATCTAAAAACCCGGAGATAAACGCAACTTGCACAGAGTTCTGAGGTATTGCTAGGTACGACACTACATGCTAAACAGAATCAATACATTGCCTATTTCTTGTAGATGTTGACATCTTTTACTCCCTCAGTTACCTTGAAGTCGTGGCCGCGTTTGGTTGAGTTAGTAATAATCTCAGAGCTGGCGTTTTCCCCTACTATTAATGCCTATTTGGTCATTCGTTGTTGTTTTTCTGGGGCAATCGTGTTCCTTCTAACTGCTTCAGGTTCGCCAAACGACTCTCAATGTTTTCTGCGGTGACAGCGAGCTTTTTGTCCTTATTACCCGGCGCCCGATAGTTGACTTCAATTCAAATGCAACCCAACTCTGCATAGAGTGAGTAGGCGACTGACAGTTTTCGAGACGGTTTCCTGACGTATGGGATCGCTCGTCAAAAAAGGCTTCTGTGTGGCATTTTCTTTAGTTTGGTCCGTGTATGTACCGACTGGCAAGGTTACGCGCCCAACTATTACTAGCTGTGAACGCTGATTAAGGGTATTACAATTTGGTGACCTTATCTTCCCATAAACGCGACGACTGTCAAATCTACTGCCTGCTTAGATGCGCGGCAGCTGCATTCTCTGAGTGCTGAAATCCCAATCAATGGGTTACGTTTATCTGTTAGTCATGCTGTTGATGCACTCCAAAGTGAATTCAAACGTCGGACGGACGGAGTTTTCCCTCGATGATCAAGTCCCTCTTTTTTATCCCGCTTCCTAAAATGCGTCTTTTTTAAATGTATTGGGCGTTTCGTAGCAATCTGAATGGTCCAGTAGTGGTATAAATCATAAAATGCCCAGTTGACAACTGTTTTTTCTTGACTATGCCTTGTGAGTAAAGAAGTCGTATTTGTTTTAAGGACATTTCTGCCTCCCACCATCGTCTGCCCATCCATGGGCCTCTGAGACGTTGCCTATTTTCTCAAAAAATTTAACATATACCGTGTTAATTTTGGATTCATCAAAACGGGCAAAGGAATGGTGACATTTCGTTTTCAAACAACCAATGTTCAAACGACGTGGATTAGTGCATAATGCTGCCTTATCTTTTTCATGTAAAATGAGGTGTAGCGTCTGGTTAGTCGGTTTATCTCCTGTTCATTTGCAGGCAAATAATGAGTTCCATAGAATTATGTGAGCAGTCAGATTTATCACTCATCTTTTTGTTTTAGTTATGTAACGCATGAAACAAAGTGCTTTATCTACTTCCTGATGGGGCAGCTGGCAATCCTTCTCTTTAAATCGGGCTGATCTTCACTCATTGGAGGAGAACTGAGCCGTCAAAGTGAAGATTTTTACAGCACAAACATGTAAACGATCATCTACCCTGTATTTTATCGAGTAAACCGGGTTTCTTTTTTACTTAAAGAAAGTCATGCGTACCTTTTGCCGTTACGCTATGCCAATAATGGCGTAACAACCCATCCCCTATGCTTTTGTAAAAAAAGATTGCACGACAAGCATACACTAAAGAATAGGCAAATCAAGAAGTATAAACTGATGGTCGGTGGGTTAGTTAGGGTCTTTTGTACACACTGACTTCTATAAAGAGAAGTTAAAGGATCTTAAACAGCAGAGGTAGTTGAAATTACACTTTTTAAATCGGTTTCTTGAAGTTGGGAAGTATATACTCCCGCTTTGTCGTCGCCTGGCGTCGTCGTCTGTCTAATACAAAAACGCACATCCGTCGTAGGTCCCAACGTAAACAACCAGTTACCTAAAACACTTCATAAATAAGATAAGAAATTAACCTCAGCTAAATAATTATGATATTTTTGTGTGTTATGATAAACGTCTTTGGAGTAGCTTAATGACAGAATATCACGCCAATAAGCAGGGTTTATAACATCGGAAGAAGCTTTATAATCATCAAAAATATATAGGGTTTGGATATTCCTTTCCATTTAGCAACGGACATTAATACTCCCGTAATTAGTTCGTGAATTCACAGACTAAAAAATATGAAGGATTCCTAGTCTGTATAGACTTAACTAGCATAAATCGGGAAGGATCAGTTTATTGTTGGACATTGGTATTTTGGTAATGCGTATACAGGCAATATCGCTGAAAGGTGTCTTGTAATATTTATAGAAACAGGTGTTTTAGGCAAAGGAAAAGAAGAAACACAACCCTTCTTAATTGGATGATCATCTCTTTTAATCGCTTTTTAGTGTTTGGATCAATCAAGTCTTTTCAAAGAACCCACGAAATCTTGGTGTTATATATGTATGGGAATAGTGGTGAGGTACAAACGACTATTTGACTTCACATTATTCGATAATGAGATATTTTAAGAAGCATTAAAAAATGGGCACATTTACTTTGACCTTACTTCATTTTATGCCAATAATCAATCACTTTCATTTTGTCCACGCAGGCTTTGGCCATACTGCGAACGGAAACCATTTTCCCGGTCTCCTAGGCTTTGATACACGCGCAATGCATGAATCTTATTTCTGATTCGTACTCACGATTTTGGATATGAGACCTCTATTTCCGCAAAATTGTTTAGACTGCGATTGTGCAAAGGTATGAGCATAAATCAAATCCAAATGAACCCTTAAAGTTATAGATTAGAGTTAAAACATGTTTTTTTACACAAACAAAGGTGAAATTTGTCGGTGAGAAAACAAACAATATCAAGTCACGGGGGTCTAGCAGACCGAACAACGGGGCAGAAAAAGTTTTAAAAGATGCACTCAAAAGATTGTTATCGTTCTAACGGAAAATGTACAAAAACAGGATCACATCAATCCAGATAACATGTATTACTAGGCCTCGTCAGGTCTCCGGTGCGAGTTCCGGTAACCAGTAAGATGACTTCACCCGACAACTCAGGTTTACGAGCCTTGTACAGGCTTCTTTAGTTTTGTATTGAGAGCATAATTGCTTTGTTGGGGCATTTTTTCCCTGCAAACTGTCTGAGGTCGCCCCACAGACATTAATCGAACTATAGTAGTTGCCAGAATGATGGACCGTTACCGAAACCCCTTCTTAGTTTTAGGGCTGTTAACGTGCAAACGAAAATTTGCGTTATGTTTTAAGGACACAGCAATGATAATAACTTAGACCGTAGTTTGCACGCGGTCATCACAAGCTCTGTGGGTGATACCTCAGTCGTAATGTGCTGAATAAACGGCACCCCATTGTAACCATTTTCACTGGTGAAAACGGCATGGTTGTTGCGGAGACCATTTCTCTGGGACTGGTATTTCGGATGGTCAAAAATGTTGTCGCTAAGAGATAATAATATGGAGAAAGCACTTAAAACATTAATTTCAACGTACACAGTAACCACTCAACTCTAGGGGAGGTTCAACAGAGCAGTTATTAGCCAGTTAGCCCCTGATGCTCCTGAAGTTGAAATGAGTAGGTACATGTCATGAAAACAGGAGTTGAGGTTTCCAGAACCAAATTACTGATATGTTCTGGAAAAAAGAAGGATTTTCTGTACTTTAGATTGTCCCACTCTGCAGAACATGCCAAAACTTGGAAATCGCTCCTTGGTAATATTTTTGGTAAGATATGTTTATGTAGCCGCACCTGGTGGACACAATACTGTGTACCTACTTAATTACAGCGTGTGGGCTAACTCATGAAATGCCAATCAAAATTCCGAAATGCATTCTCATTTCGCAAAGATTAATTAAGTAGGGTTGTAAAACTTATCATCATGCAGTGTAATTCTATACTAATTGAGATATCTCAGGGTGCCGGTTTTCGGACGAATTTCTTCCCGGCCGCACGCAAAAAACCACCCACTGTAAAAAATTACCACTTAACTAACATGCATTTTCTCACGGATTTTGGTGCCCTTAAAAATTCAATTATATTTCATGAAAAACATGCATAAAAGTACTCATTCTTCCGCCCATTCTGTAGAAAATTACATTTTCTTCCAACTTCATACTCGAAGGAGGGGTATAATCCGGTTTTAAAATGTCTCTAATTGCGAAATTGTTTAATACCGTGAAATGGCCGTTCACAAAACGCCGTGTATTTACGTTCGTAATCAGGAGCTGTGTTCGAGAGTGACCATCTAATAGTTCCTCTACCTGAGACCAGGAAACGTTTTTAAATGACTAATATTTGCAAATACTTGAATATTGCTTTTAACTTCAAACTTTGGCAGATTCGTAATAACGAGCGTTTTCATAATGCCCCTCAAAAATCTTGTCGTGTCACTTCACAGGAACCTTTTATAGTTACCAAGTCCTTGCGCTTACCCGGAGAATGCCAACATTTTTGATTTAGAAAACGTATAAGTTCATAACTATAAGAGTGCACCGACGATTAGTCACATTTTTAGAAACTACACCTAGGAATAAATTTTTAGAACTACAGTTACCTTTACTAAAAATCTCAACCGGAGATTCCGGTCAAGAAGAAACTTCTTGAAATGACACGGTATCCTACAAACTCCTCTTGATGACGGACTTTCTGACACACTTTCAGAGGACAATAACTGATGCCGTTTTGTCGCTGAATCTAACCATATTTCATCATTTATTTTCAAATTAGTCAGAATGCTCTGTATTTTGGTTCGTAATGCAAACGTTGCCTCCTTCGTTTTATGTCCTCAGTCGTTTACATTATTAGGGGTTTTTAAGACTGCCAGACAGTAACCGCCAGTTCTTCATATGAGTTCATTAAAACTAGAAGAATGTTTTGTTGACAATCTCCCGAATCGTAACGTTTAGAGTGCAGCTTATAATACATCTACTATCAAAATATAAATAGCCGTTTCTGCGTACATGTAATAAGCTCTGGTGAATGGAACGAGTTATACACGTCCGCACAAGTAAACCAGGTTTCCTGAGTAAAATGTGAATGGTTTTATTCAACGATTTCATAGCCGTTCTTCAGGTAGATTTTTTCGAGAAAATCTTCTAGGTACCACTCTTATTTCTGCTAACAGTTTTAGATCTACATCAAAGCTCTCCATTGCAAGCACTGCGCACCATTAGTGTCCCAAGAGGTGGGTTAAATGGCTGTTTATGTGAGAATTTGTATATGGCGAGGCATGCATAAGCTGCGTTTACTTCACTTCATCTATCCAAACCCACACAAGTCGATGGCAAGAAGTAATCGGATACGGTCGTGGTGACTAGCAAGATTGGAGAACGTCTCCGCGTACCGCATAAGGTCTGACATTTAGCCCCATAGGTATCTGCCTTTTTTGCCTTATATGAGCGGGAATGTCATGAATGCCATAGTGCGAATGGGTTGTTGCAGTCCGTCTCTCATTTCAGTGGAGAATCGAGTTGACGCGTCAGTTGATTGCCTCCGAAGCCATGGTTCTAGTGGGTTGGATCACCGATTTTCCATGGCAAAGTATTCCTAAAGATTGGTCGTAGTCTCCCCTACCTTGCTGCAAAAGCTTAACTCGAAAGTGGATCCCAACCACTGAGACTCACAATCGACGCGCCGAATCATGTTCGGCACGGCGGGCCATACTACAATAAACGTCCTGGAGGGAGGGCTAAACCAGATAAGGTTTTCGGCAGGCGTGTGACTCCATGCCCGGGAGTCCCTGAACTATTTCTCATGCTCCCTCTGCATTATCGGATAGTGCTATGTAGAGGACGACATGAAGCACCAAATCTGGAGTCCCCGGTCTTCCATATACCGCAATTCTGGGCCCGAAATATGAAAGATATCTTTGTCCTTCACGAGAGGGATGGGGCGTTGACACTCGAAGAACATTCCAACGTAATCTCCTCGGAAACGGAATTTACGAAAGAGGAGGCGGTAAACAATAAGCTGGCCTTCCATGATGGTCTCATCCGTCACAAACGTCTAAGTGGTCCAAAACATGCAGTGTTAACGATAACATCAGATGTGACATAGGTACGGAGTGCCAACAGTAAACACTCAAACACCCATAAAGGCACTTGAGCAGGGGCGTTATATCGATGTGTTGATACGCACTACAGTCAACTGGAAGACGAGGTTGCCGAATTAAAATACCCTCGAAGCGTCCTCTGGTCGAACAGTTGTTTGCACATCGACGAGACACGAGGCCAAACAATATAGGTCCAAAATTTTGACGAGCACTTTCGTACGTCAAGAATGTTTCGGAACATCTTCGCACACACCATCATTAACCGTAGTGTGGCCGAAAGAATCACTGTTTAGGATGTGAACGTCTGGAGAATCTCACAGCATCTATCATTCTCTCTCTTTCCCGCGGGCTCCGTGCCAAAATAAAGTCAAGAAGACCAGAGGCGGGCGATAATGCAGGTGGCTGG